AAAAAAAAAACTAAAAAAAAAAAAAAAAAAAATAAACCGTACGGAATCGCCGATTTACTGTTCGGACTCGTCGATTCCGTACAGTGAATCGGCGATTCACTGTACAGAATCGTCCGGTTCTCTCTAGAACCGGACGATTTCCGATTTTTTGGGCGATCCGGTCCCTTCTCACGATTTTCGAGTCGAACCGGACGAGTCCGGTTCGACTCGGCGTTTTTTAAAACGCTGCAATGAACTACTACTTATACAGTGGATTGATAGAATACATCAAATGAATAAGATGGACGTGCTCCAGAAAGGCTTCAATGGCAATACATATAAATTCACTACCTGTTTTGCATCAATCATAATCAAAAAAGACATTTGGATAAATTTTTTAAATTTTTTAGCATTAATCTTTGGATGATTTTATATGAAAATCTATTTAGAGGATACGAAAAAAAGAGGAAAATCATAGACAACCCAAAAGCTGAGTCAATTAACTATGTGATATTTGGTAAGAATCTCATCAGAAAAAGATACCTCAGCACAATATAGAAAAGATAAAAGTAGCTAAACAACCCTTAAATTTTCCTCAGCCCCAAAAACTACGTAGATCCAAAGAGTGGAAAAGAACAAAATGAGATTCTCCATGTCCTGAAAAATTAATGGTTCCTTCATAGAATGGTAAAAGCATGGGCAGTTTGCCCATATGCCTGTGTCTATGCTCAACAAGTCCCATCTGTTAAGGAGAGGAGTGAGGACATGATTTATAGAGGAGTTCAAAATTAATGAGAAAGAGTAAAGAATTCAGATCATAGTAGTAAACAATAAGACCATTTAGTTCAGGTTCAACAAAGTCACAATCACCCCTAACCATTGGATGTGAAATTGGATAGCATAAGGTGTGCCATTGACCTGACTCAAAGTTCCATCAAAAATCTTTCGAACTTTAACATACCACAAGCTGTCAAATATCACGTCTGACAGCTAGGGGTGATTGTCATATATGGTCTATAGCATACAATCCCAAATTAGTAAGTGGCGTTGGCACATTAGGGTCTACACCAATACCATATAGAGCATGTTCTACTAGAAATGTGCATTGGTTAAGCCCCCAGAAAATGAAGGCAGATGTTTCCATTCAATTGGTACATCAATACTATTAACACCAAAAAACTACCTTGTATGATTAATTTGTGTAAAGTGAATAAAAGGTTGTAACTTTCAAAAAAGCAATATGGACATTGGGCAGCATATTCAAATATGTGAATAAGTTAACTAGCATGCATTAACAAATGCACAGTTCAAGTTATGGGGACAGAAAGAAATCAGGACATTTTTCTAATATGTTGAGAGGCATTCATAGGACATATTCTAGAGGAAGATCTGTAAATGGATTTTTTGTAGCATTCCAAATCGGTAAGAGTACTGGGTCTCATCAGTAAACATATTATTCCAAATCAGCATTAAACAAAATGGATAAAATAACCAAGCATCAAAGAGAACAACCATAAATTGTGTGGCTCTATCAGTACATTTGGTTTGGTTGCAATATTTTCTGCTAAAACACACCACCAAATTCATTTAACGTATTTCTTGATTTTCATAGGCAGTTGGTTGTACATCAATAATTAACTTGAGTGACGAAAGCAAAAAATAGATGATGAAATCAATTATGCCAAAATTGAAGCCTACCGGGTGCTGAAGAATCATCTGAAGCAGCAACAGCAAAATGAGATTATTTAAAATATTCAGATAAGGACATCTTTGCAGTAAAATGATTGATACACAGCCAATTGGGCATGCATATTAGCAGAATTTTTGTATCTCAACTACATAAGCATATAGTTATCAAAGCTGTGACGTATTCGTCATTGTTACTTCTACCTTTCCTGTAATGAAGTTTTGATTTTCCCTCGCTATCATCCTCAACATCAGCAACAATTTGTTCATGAGAGAAATCCATCTCTTCATGCTTTTGATTTTTCTCATGAGAATCACGGAGTTTAGGAATTGGAAGTATAGCATCTTCTGCATTTGCACGGTCCAGTGCAGTAACTGCGGCGAACATTTCATAAAATACATTAGTGTCTCTTAGAAGTACTAAAACAATGGTCCATCAACCAATTTCAACATGTCCATCAATGCTCTATGAACAGTACATAAACACGCGTACATAAACCTGTGCAAATTAATGTACAGAAAACCAATAATATAAAATTCTTCAAGAATGTACAAAAGATGCCTAACAGAATATTCCAAGATATAGAAATAATTTGACTGATACATGTAACTTCTATCAGCCCAAATCTCTTTCCAACTCGTCAAATTGACGAACCTGTTCCATCATGCAACTATGAAATCAATCATTGCATACCTTGACTTATTGCCAATTTAGATTTCTGGGATGCATCAGATCGCGTGATTAGCAAAAGACCTCCCTTGCTTGAAAGCTTCAAGGTCACATCTGAATCAGGCTTCATGGAAATTTTCTCGAATTCCGGCTTTATTATAGAACCATATGCAACATAAACAGTTCCCAAATCCTCTTTCCCAGAGTTTTGTATATTTGCGGCAAATATTGCAGGCATCATGCCCCTTCTAGACTTCGTAACATTGGGATCGATAAATGATGCAGACACCGAAATCTTGACTGGCTTAGGATGTAATTTCTCAACCTCATTCCCATACCAAAAGTAACAAAATCCTGTCTCTGAAACGGCCAGAAAAGAGATCCCCTTACTGTCAGTACCCTTACTGTCTAAGCAGATAGCAGGCTGCTCCATTGAAAGGACACAAGATGCGGATTCTTTTCTTCCACCATCTATTTTCCAGATGGCGACATATCGTTCCTCAACACCAGATGAAATAATGTACTTCCTATCTTCAGTAAAGATCATACAGCGGACAGAAACCTATGAAGGCAATCTTCAAAACTTAATCGATACACAGCAAAGCAACAATCCATAAAATGCTAGTTAAACTCTCAAAGCTGGCATAATAACAAGGTAATAACTGCATGAAGATGTTTATTGTGCATGAACTACATCAAGAACACCAAGGTTCATCCAACTCCACAAAATTCAGAAGATAAAACTCACAGGATGGCCAGAGAACTTCTGAACTTGTTTATAAGCCGAACAGTTGAAAACCTTCAATTGAGCAGCTGCAGTTGCCAGCATATCTCCATCTGGGAAATCCCATGGAATGCTTTAGGAAATCAGGTACAAGATAGGCATAGGGTATAGAAAAATCATTAATCATAGAAAAGCAAAATAACATAACATCTACGGAAAAGCAAGTCAGACTGTCAGAGTAGGGAGCAGCCACAATGTCATCCATCGGCATTCGTTCTTTCCATTGAGGTGATTAAATATCTAATAAAGAATTGATAAGTTATACAGTCTGGAACATTCCATCTCTCTCCAGAACTTTCAATAGAAGGTGAATTCTGACCTTTAGGGGAAATTTTGATTGCAGAGAAATCATATCAAAGAGATATGGTCATATCAATGAGATATGGGCATGCAAGAGATATGGGTTTCTGTTTAGTTTGGTTACTTTTCACAAAATATGATGCAGTGAAAAGAGGTCTTTTTCCCTCACAAACCCTAGAACCTGCCCAGAGCTTGCTAATATTGGCATGAAGTTACAATGCAGTGAATTATAATAAAAAAAACGACAGCAGAGAATTTCAAAGAAGTTCAAAAAGCTCCAAACTGGCTACCAAAATTCATTAAATTTGAAAATTGTTTGAGGACACTGTTGACTCAATCGAAAGGCTTTCAGGAACAACACTATCATAAAAACTTTGATGAAAAGGACATAACAATCAAAGTCAAATCTAAACAAATGCCAGAGGAACAAAGGAGGCTCAAACAAAGGAAATCAAGGAACTCTTATCAAAAGGACTACTATGATCCAGATAAAGTCCTCACCCCTTGCACGGCATTCTATGTTAATAATTGGAAGGAAAAATCAAGAAATGAGTCCCAAGACCAATAATCAACTATACTCCTCTAAACAAGGTTTTGTAACATCACATGCCCAGTCCTTAATTGACATACCTTCCTATACAGAAATACCAAAGCTCAAGAGTTCAATGAGTTTGGTTTTATTCTGGTTTTTGGCAACTATGAACTGCTGAAAAAGGAGATGTGCAAAATAACTTTCACAGTTCTGATATGAATTGGTCGTACCTAGACTTGACTTAAGGGCCCTGGCCGGGGTATGGCCACAATGGTGGCCAGGTGGCCCAAGTCCAGCCTTTTTAGTGGTTCAGACAGTGCTAGGGCCTGGCCTAGACTTTTCTTATGGTATTCTATAAAATATAAAAAAATTTAAAATAGGCTGATCGATATTCAAACTTTATTGATAGTAACTAACAATGATACACTAACCATTAAAGGCCCAATCAACTAGTAGTCTATCACATTACTTATGAAGTACATTATAGATATAATATTCACTACATAAATATATTACAATCTCTATCACTTGTACACACACAAACAAAACCAATTGCTCTCTCACAAATAAAAACCCAATCTTTCTCTGCTAAATCAGAAACCTAGGTCGCTCTTTCTCTCACTAAATTAGAAACCTACCTCCCTTCCTCTTTACACAGTCAACTCTCTCTCTCTCTCTC